TCCAGATGTTACATTTCGTTTAAGAAATAACATAGTAACATACTTGTTCCTTTGAAAATCACATCCATTAGGTTGAGAAATAGAGAAATTCGAACTGAGAACTTTCTGGATAAATGCTCCCATCGAACTAATCTACTACATTATTTCGGTACCCAAGATTTTTCATTTCATATACAGAATCAAAATTTAAACATTCTTCTTCTCTGATAAACTACATAATTAGGTTGAGAAATAGAGAAGTCCGAACTTAGAACTTTCTGGATAAATGATTCTTATGAACTGATCTACTACTTAAGTTTCGGATCTAAAGTTTTAACTTTTCATTTGCGCAATAATTTTCTTGTAACAGTGTAATGTTTTGGCAGAAAAGAAAATATTTATATAACATTCACCCAAGATTTTTCATTTCATATACGGAATCAAAATTTAAACATTCTACTTCTCCGTTAAACTACAATAATTAGGTTGAGAAATAAGGAAGTCCGAAATTAGGACTTTCTGAATAAATGATTCTATTGAACTGATCTACTACATACTTTGGGATCTAAAGTTTTAACTTTTCATTTGCAGAATCATTTTCTTGTAACAGTGTAATGTTATAGCAGTAAAGAAAATATTTATATAACATTCACAGAGAAACCAAAGTTTAAAATTATTGGGTTTTGCAATTTTTTGATGAATCATAAAAAGAGACACAAAATTCAAATTTTGCTATTTCACATAATGACTTTGCAAAGTTTAATTTATATATAATTAACGAAAGTAACAATTGTCGCACTATGTAATTTAACATAAAATCTCCTTATATTTTTAAAAAACTTAGTAAATGATTATGACCTACTTTTTTAGCACTAAATTAAATAAAGGAATCTGACACATAAATCTTGTAACATAACACTCATTGGATAGTAAATTTCATTGAACTCATCCACTGCCTTCTTTAGGTACTCCTGATGTTACATTTCGTTTAAGAAATAACATAGTAACATACTTGTTCCTTTGAAAATCACATCAATTAGGTTGAGAAATAGAGAAATTCGAACTGAGAACTTTCTGGATAAATGATTCCATCGAACTAATCTACTACATTATTTCGGTACCCAAGATTTTTCATTTCATATACTGAATCAAAATTTAAACATTCATCTTCTCTGTTAAACTACGTAATTAGGTTGAGAAATAGAGAACTTTGAACTGAGAACTTTCGGGATAAATGATTGTATTGAACTGATCTACTACTTAAGTTTGTGATCTAAAGTTTTAACTTTTCATTTGCGCAATCATTTTCTTGTAACAGTGTAATGTTTTGGCAGAAAAGAAAATATTTATATAACATTTACCCAAGATTTTTCATTTCATATACGGAATCAAAATTTAAACATTCTACTTCTCTGTTAAACTACAATAATAAGGTTGAGAAATAAGGAAGTCCGAAATTAGGACTTTCTGGATATATGATTCTATTGAACTGATCTACTACATACTTTGGGATCTAAAGTTTTAACTTTTCATTTGTGGAATCATTTTCTTGTAACAGTGTAATGTTATAGCAGCAAAGAAAATATTTATATAACATTTACAGAGAAACCAAAGTTTAAGATTATTGGGTTTTGCAATGTTTTGATGAATCATAAAAATAGACACAAATTTCAAATTTTGCTATTTCACATAATGACTTTGTAATGTTGAATTTATATATAATTAACGAAAGTAACAATTGTCCAACTATGTAATTTAACATAAAATATCCTTATATTTGTAAAAATCTTAGTAAATGATTATGACCTATTTTTTTATCACTAAAATTAAATAAAAGAATCTGACACATAAATCTTGTAACAGAACACTCATTAAATAGTAAATTTCAGTGAACTCAACCACTGCATGGTTTGAGTACTCCAGATGTTACATTTCGTTTAAGTAATAACATAGTAACATAGTTTTTCCTTTAAAAATCACATTAATTAGGTTGAGAAATAGAGAATTTGGAAATGAGAACTTTCTGGATAAATGATTCCATCGAACTAATCTACTGCATTATTGCGGTTCCCAAGGTTTTACACTTCATATACGGAATCATTTTCTTGTAACAGTGTAATATTATAGCAGACATGAAAATATTTATATAACACTCACAGAGATACGAAAGTTTAAGATTGGTGTTTGTAATTTTTTAATGAATCATAAAAAGAGACACAAATTACAAATTTTGCTATTTCACGTAATGACTTTGTAAAGTTTAATTTATATATAATTAACGAAAGTAACAATTGTCGCACTATGTAATTTTACATAAAATATCCTTATATTTGTAAAAAACTTAGTAAATGATTATGACTTATTTTTTTAGCACTAAAATTAAATAAAAGAATCTGACTTAAAAATCTTATAACAGAACACTCATTGGATAGTAACTTTCATTGAACTCATCCACTGCATTTTTAGGGTACTCCAGATGTTACATTTCGTTTAATAATTATCATAGTAACATACTTGTTCATTTAAAAATCACATCAATTAGGTTGAGAAATAGAGAAATTCGAACTGAGAACTTTCTGGATAAATGATTCCATCGAACTAATCTACTACATTATTTCGGTACCCAAGATTTTTCATTTCATATACGGAATCAAAATTTAAACATTCTTCTTCTCTGTTAAACTACATAATTAGGTTGAAAAATAGAGAAGTCCGAACTCAGAACTTTCTGCAAAAATGATTCTATTGAACTGATCTACTACTTACTTTGGGACCTAAAGTTTTAACTTTTCATTTGCGGAATCATTTTCTTGTAACAGTGTAATGTTATAGCAGTAAAGAAAATATTTATATAACATTCACAGAGAAACCAAAGTTTAAGATTATTGGGTTTTGCTATTTTTTGATGAATCATAAAAAGAGACACAAATTTCAAATTTTGCTATTTCACATAATGACTTTGTAAAGTTTAACTTTTATATAGTTAACGAAAGAAACATATGTCCCACTGTGTAAATTAACATAAAGTCTCCTTATATTTTTAAAAAACTTTTTAAATGATTATGACCAATTTTTTTAGCACTAAAATTAAATAATGTAATCTGACACATAAATCTTGTAACAGAACACTCATTTGATAGTAAATTTCATTGAACTGATCCACTGCATGCTTTGGGTACTCCAGATGTTACATTTTGTTTAAGAAATAACATTTTAACATACTTTTTCCTTTGAAAATCACATCAATTAGGTTGAGAAATAGAGAAATTGGAACTGAGAACTTTCTTGATAAATGATTCCATCGAACTAATCTACTACATTATTTCGGTACCCAAGGTTTTTCATTTCATATACGGAATCAAAATTTAAACATTCTTCTTCTGTGTTAAACTACATAATTAGGTTGAGAAATAGAGAAGTCCGAACTTAGATCTTTCTGGATAAATGATTCTATTGAACTAATCTACTACTTACTTTGGGATCTAAAGTTTTAACTTTTCATTTGCGGAATCATTTTCTTGTTACAGTGTAATATTATAGCAGACATGAAAATATTTATATAACACTCACAGAGATACGAAAGTTTAAGATTGGTGTTTGTAATTTTTTGATGAATCATAAAAAGAGACACAAATTTTAAATTTTGCTATTTCACATAATGACTTTGTAATGTTGAATTTATATATAATTACCGAAAGTAACAATTGTCCAACTATGTAATTTAACATAAAATATCCTGATATTTGTAAAAAAAACTTATTAAATGATTATGACCTATTTTTTTTAGCACTAAAATTAAATAAAAGTATCTGACACATAAATCTTGTAACAGAACACTCATTGGATAGTAAATTTCAGTGAACTCATCCACTGCATGCTTTGGGTACTCCAGATGTTACATTTCGTTTAAGAAATAACATAGTAACATAGATGTTCCTTTAAAAATCACATCAATTAGGTTGAGAAATAGAGAAATTCGAACTGAGAACTTTCTGGATAAATGATTCCATCGAACTAATCTACTACATTATTTCGGTACCCAAGAATTTTCATTTCATCTACGGAATCAAAATTTAAACATTCTTCTTCTCTGTTAAACTACAATGATTAGGTTGAGAAATAGAGAAGTCCGAACTGAGAACTTTCTGGATAAATGATTCCATCGAACTGATCTACTACTTACTTTGGGACCTAAAGTTTTAACTTTTCATTTGCGGAATCATTTTCTTGTAACAGTGTAATATTATAGCAGACATGAAAATATTTATATAACACTCACAGAGATACGAAAGTTTAAGATTATTGGGTTTTGCAATTTTTTGATGAATCATAAAAAGAGACACAAATTTCCAGTCTTGCCATTTCACGTAATGACTTTGTAAAGTTGAATTTATATATAATGAACAAAAGGAACAATTGTCACGCTATGTAATTTAACGTTATATCTCCTTATATTTGTAAAAAAAACTTATTAAATGATTATGACCTATTTTTTTTAGCACTAAAATTAAATAAAAGTATCTGACACATAAATCTTGTAACAGAACACTCATTGGATAGTAAATTTCAGTGAACTCATCCACTGCATGCTTTGGGTACTCCAGATGTTACATTTCGTTTAAGAAATAACATAGTAGTTCCTTTAAAAATCACATTAGTTAGTTAAAGTAAAATTAATACTGAATTTATTAACTTATTTGAATTAAAACAGGTAAAGCGATTTTTACAGAGCGGTTCTATATGATGCGTACGAAAGACAAACAGAAACTAAAAACTTCGCAGATACCACTACATACGACGCACACAAGTTGTCCCTCTGCGGGCAAACTAAGGAATCATCCTTGATTTAAAAAGACCGCGAAATAAAATTTAAAATAAAAGTAAATGAAATGCGATGAAATCGTAAACATACCGCCTACCTTGCGAGCTTATTTTAAGATTGCAATGGTCACAATAGAACAAAAGGTACGAACTTAAAACTAATTGTCGAAATTACAAGAATACGTATTAGGTTACAAATATTATGAATAGTTGCACGGTAATCGAACTAATTGTGTGATTGGACGAGTAAATTCAGACGCACTCGTCTTTACTTGAACGACTCTAACGTTACCGTCTTGACCGGGAATAGATTTAATGACACGTCCTAATTCCCATTTAGCGGGTGGGAGATTAGGATTTCGTAGTAAAACAACATCGTTAATTTTCAAATTAACTCGCTCTGACAACCACTTTGTTCGCTGTTGCAGTGACTGTAAATAATCTTTGGACCATGAGCGCCAAAACTGTTCTAAGACACGTTTATAAAACTGCCAACGCGACAAGTGGTTCTCAGGTAGATCCAGAACAGATATCGCAGGTACAGTTTTTAACGCAGATCCGATTAAAAAATGTCCAGGAGTTAATGCTTCGCAACTCTCTGGATCTTCGTTTAGTTGAACAATAGGTCGAGAATTTAAGCAGCATTCGATTTGACAAAGTAAAGTCGTTAATTCTTCGGAAGTCGGTGTAGCGTTTGATAATAATGTACGCAAATGAAATTTTACATTTTTCACGCCAGCTTCCCACAGACCTCCAAAATGCGGCGCAGACGGAGGCATGAAGTGCCACGTGATTCCGTCTGAGGCCATGTGAGAAGCAATCGTCGGATCTTTCATAATGAGCTTAAATGTATGTGACAATTCGCGATCAGCACCGCGAAAATTCGTGCCATTGTCACTATAAAGATCTGTTGGCAAACCTCGACGTGAGGTAAAGCGTCTCAAAGCTGCGAGAAAAGCAGCTGACGTATAATCGTCAACAAGCTCCAAATGTATGGCTTTAACAGAAAAACAAACAAAAACAGCGATCCAAGCCTTATGTGACTTGGTTCCGCGACCCGAACTAGAGCGGACCAAAAATGGACCCGCGTAATCAATTTCGGTATGAGAGAAAGGACGAGAAGGAGATACTCTAGCACTAGGTAAATCTCCCATAAGTTGGTTTTCAACACGCGCTTTGTCTCTCACGCAAGTGACACATTTCCTGATAATTTCTTTAATGAGATTTCGCGCACCAATAATCCAATATTGAGTGCGAGCAATATAAAGAGTCAACTGAACTCCCCCGTGTAATAAATTTTTGTGCAATTGTGTCAAAATTAAAAAGGAAATCGGATGATTAGGTAGAATATCTGGTGGGTTTTGGTAAGTCAATAACTTAGACTAGCGTAGTCGTCCGCCCAATCTAAGTCGAGGCCATGTCTCCGGTGAATCTCGCAGCCAAGTGGGACCCTCCCACCAAAGGGAAAAGGTTGACAAGTCCTCCGCTGAGAGGCCACGTGAGGCACAATCCGCGGGATTTTGCTTGGAAGGAACATGATTCCACGTAGCTGCAGGCAACTCCGTTAAAATACCTGACACACGATTTGCAACGAAAGTAGTCCAGGAAGTTGGTTGCTTCTGAAGCCAACTGAGAACAATTGTAGAGTCTGTCCAGCAAAAAACTTGAGAATTCATTAAACCGAGAGAATCAATAACAAAATGAATTAATTTAGACAAAAAGCTTGCGGCACATAATTCGAGTCGTGGGATGCTTATTGTCTTGAGCGGAGCAACTTTTGTTTTGGACATGAGGAGACTGACTAAAACATCACCTGAAGCGGACCGAATTCGAGAGTATACGACTGCAGAATATGCGACACTCGACGCAGCCATGGATTTGTATCGAGACTGCATCAGAAGAATTATGCGTCCATCTTGGAACTGAAAGATTTGACAAGGCCGACAATGAAGATCGAAATTGATTCCAATCTTTAAGCAAGTCCGAGGAAAGAGAATCGTCCCAGTCTAGCTTTCGAAGCCAGAGTTTTTGCAAAAGAATTTTTGCAATAATTGTCACAGGCGAAATCCAACCCATTGGGTCGAATATTTTCGCGGTAGCCGAGAGTATTGATCTTTTTGTTGCAAGTTCTTCAGGAATTTCACAAGTTTTGAAGTGAAAGGCATCATCTGACGGTTTCCAAAAAATTCCGATGACTTTGAAACCTGAAGAATCGTCAAAAGGGATCTCAACTGCTAAACCATGATCAGCAGAATCCAATCCGTCTAGTAAATCAAGAGAATTACTAAACCATTTCCGTAATGGGAATCCCCCAGCATTTGTCATATTAATGACTTGATCTCTCACCTTGAGTGTGGAGGTTTTATCCGATCCTCCAAGAAAAACGTCATCAACGTAGGTTTGCTCCAAAAGCACGGAAACAGCTAAAGGAAAATTGTCCTTTTCGTCATGTGCCAACTGTCTCATTACGCGAATGGCAAGATATGGCGAAGACGCCATTCCGTAGGTAACAGTATTTAATTCAAACACATGGATCGGACACTTAGGAGCTTCTCGCCACAAAATACATTGATATTTTTGATGGGCAGGATCGATGAGAATCTGGCGAAACATATTAGCAATATCAGCACACAACACGAATTCAAATTGACGCCATCATAAAATGATGGAGCAAATATCTGTTTGTAATTTTGGACCGATGTGTAAAATGTCATTAATCGAGGTTTTGTTGGACGTTGGACTCGAAGCATTAAAGACGACTCTAACTTTCGTTGTTTGGCTACTTTCGCGAACGACAGGGTGGTGCGGAATAAAGACACGAGATGAATCAGTCTGGTCAACGTCAACTGGAGTCATATGTCCCATCTCTTGATACTTTCCTAGAAAATCACGATAATTTTCAGCAAGCAGAGGATCACGAGTAAATCTTTTTTCTATTCTACACAACGAATTGAGAGCTATGTTATAAGAGTCACCTAATTTCGAGGGGGAATCATCAAAAGGTAATTGAACTACATATTTTCCATTTAAGTCTCTAGAATGTGTCTCCATAAAATGATGCTCACATTCAATTTCTTTTTTTGTCATTAAATTCACTGCTGGTATCTCTTTCAATTCCCAAAATTGACGCAAGCTTTCGTCAACTCGGGTTTCCATGGAAAAGTGGACATTAATGTGATAACTTTGAAGAGGAGATCCTTGTAGTGGTCCTGATAAGATCCAACCAAATATAGTTGACTGAGCAACGAGATCTCCACGTGGTCCAGGACAAATCTCAGGTTTGAGCAATTGAGCGTACAGATCGGCTCCAATCAGCAAATCGATCCGGTCACTTTCCCATGGATTTAGATCGGCAAGTTCGAGACTTTAAAGATTTTCAGGAATTTCTAAAAGGGTAAATTCAGCTGGAACATATGCAGTGATTTTTGGAAGTACGAATGCTTGAGTTTGGAGCGTGGTTGAACAAGGTTTAATCGTTTAAATAGTGATAGGAACGGAATGAAGGATTTTATTCGTACAACTTCCTCCCAAACCGGACACTGTAACATTCGTATTTTTGCGTGGAAGACGTAATAATTGAGCAATTAATTCGGACAAAAACGTAGCTTCTGACCCTTGGTCAAGAAGAGCGCGGACATGAACGCGGCGGCCATCAGGCGCCTCAACCATCACTCGAGCGGTTCCCAACAGAACAGTAGTGCGGTATTTTTAGACGAGTTCAAATGCGATGAAATCGCCACATCATCAGACACTTGATTTGATTCTGAAACGCTATGATCAGTTTTTAATTCGCGACTTTGTGACAAATTTTTATTATCGCGATGCAATAAAGAATGATGAGGCTTTTTACAAATATTACAAAATTTTCGGCTCTGACATAAATTGCGATTATGCTTACCTAAACAGTTGAAGCATCGTGAATTAGCCTTTAAATATTCAGAACGTTCATCAATTGTTTTTTCTTTAAATACAGAACAAGCATAGAGGTTATGTTCTCTGTTACACATTGGACATACAAACTTTGTTGAGTTTTGATGCGTGTGTACCTTCTTGAGTACCGACTGCGAATGATTTGAATTTTTACTTTCAGGACGCTTTTTAATATCTACTGTAGCTTCTAAATCGCGAATTCGAGAATCAAGAAATTTAACAAATTGATCGAGAGAGGGAGGATCTGTCTCTTCACTAATTGACAATTCCCACTGATCACGAGAAATTTTATCTAACTTGTTTATTAACATAAAAACTAACAAATCATTCCCCTCATCGATAGGACGTTTTAGACTTTTTAAAGCAGATGTCGCAGTAATAACAACGTTACGCATAGTTTTTAAATTATTCAACCAATCTGATGTGACAGGTGGCAATTCAACAATCTTTTTTAAATATTCATATATTAAAACTTTAGAATTACTATAACGAGTTTCGAGATTTTCACAAATATTCTGAAAATTGCCATCTGTCCCTGGTTGATTTTGAGCAATTATTAATGCCTCACCTTTAAGAGATGATTTGAGATAATGAAGACGCTCTGCATCCGACAAGCGATCGTTGTCAATTACAAGAGATTTAAACAGATCTCTAAAGGTGAGCCACTCACAATACGAACCTGAGAAAGTGTGTATAGTAATGCGAGGAAGTTTTACAGATGATGATGCTCCTCGTGGCGTTGCATCTGGATCTGGTGGTTGAGAACGGTCTTGTACCGGCATGGGCGGTGGCTCAGGAAGACTGCTAAGTATGTGGTATATGGCCTCCTCATACAAGTCCTCAATCTGATTAAACTCATCAGAATTATAAATTGTAATTGTTGTCTCTCCTCCTTCGGCTTGATTAGGAGGATCTATTATTGGAGGATTTGCAAGTAAAGCGGCATGATTTTGTCGACACCTCAGCCAGCAATCTTGTAAATTTGTTAGGCGTCCTAACAACAGTTGTCGAGGTGGATTTTCGTAATTTAAAACACGATTAACAATCTGTTTGATAGAGTTAAATAGAGTTTCTTGGTCACTTAACACTCGTTCATAACTAGTCGTGGCCATGTTTGTTACAGGAAAAATGGCCGACCACGCTACGTAAAATATAGTGAAAAAAATTTTTCATGAAAAAAGGTTCTCGATACTGAGAAAAAAAGTAAAATAGCACCAAAATATTGCGGAAAAAACACAATAAAGTCTTAAAAAAAGTACTTTTTGACTATTCAAGTCACTTGAGAGAATAAAAAAATGCAATATATAAAGGAAAAATCCCTTAAGCGTCACTTAACACAAAGCACTGATTTCACTTTCTTTTCTCCTTTTTAGAAATCCGGCTCGAAGGACCATGTTATGAATTTAAACAGTTTAACATAAAGGACTTGTGAAAAAAAGGAGAATAAGATAGTGAAAGTAAAATTAACACTGAATTTATTAACTTATTTGAGATAAAACAGGTAAAGCGATTTTTACAGAGCGGTTCTATATGATGCGTACGAAAGACAAACAGAAACTAAAAACTTCGCAGATACGACTACATACGACGCACATAAGTTGTCCCTCTGCGGGCAAACTTACTTTGGAATCTAAAGTTTTAACATTTCATTTGCGGAATCATTTTCTTGTAACAGTGTAATGTTATAGCAGACATGAAAATATTTATATAACACTCACAGAGATATCAAAGTTTAAGATTGGTTTTTGTAATTTTTTGATGAATCATAAAAAGAGACACAAATTTCAAATTTTGCTATTTCACGTAATGACTTTGTAAAGTTTAATTTTTATATATTTAACGAAAGAAACATATGTCCCACTGTGTAATTTAACATAAAATCTTTATTTTTTAGCGTTTATTTAATTTTCCAAATGGAAATTGCATTTTTTATTGTAATTTCTGAGAAAGTACTGTTACAGTTTTTGTGAAAAAAGTGCTCATATTTAATTTATTGACATGAAATTTTTTTCATTATTATAACTCAAAAAAAGTTTTAGCTGGTGTATATCTTGCCAATAATCAATTATCCATAAAGGAAAAAGCATTTTACCTTCTTGTTTTAAAGAAAAGGCTGTTGAAAATTTTCCAAAATTTTAGTTTCAATGTAGATGGCGCTGCCTCACTTGGACCTGGCCTTAATTCCTTTGCCTACATGGACCGTTAGAAATTGTTCTTATTTATT